AAAAAACTTTTTTGATTAATTGAGCTGTTGAATTGACCTTTTACGTAATATGTTATTGTTTAAGTTTTAAATTTACTAAATATTTGATACAAACAAATTTTTTATTAGTAGGCATTGTTAATTTGAAACTGCTTTGCGAATTGTTTTTGTTTGTTTTAAACTAATTTTAGGATATAAAGTTAATTTTAACTTTCTCTAAACGTAACATGAAATAATCTAGTGTATCAATTATATATTAAAATATGTCATATTTTGTGATATATATACATATAGTTACATTTATCATTATTCGCTTAATAGAGAATAGTTTTGGTGTTAGTTATGCACATTAAACCGAATTATTATTATATATCTTCCACAAACGCACTATCTTCTTCCATTGTCTTATGAGAAGACAGGGTAGTTTCTCCATCACATTAAATGAGCTTTCACAGTCATACCTCAATTAAATTAATATCCTCAATATATTTTACCGATGGCAAAAAAGGATGTTATCAATTTTAATTTTGTGTTTTGTCGTAATCGGTTATTATAATAATAGTAATTGGCGTCAATGCTATATACTTACATAATTCTTTGTAGATATTAAAATAATAAAACAGCTGTTGCAAACATTGTTGATTAAATAAAATAAATAAGTTAAAATGACAAATCTCTATAACCGAGTGGTTCACGCGCTGTTTTCAAGGAGTCACCATCTCTGAAATACCGGGTTCGATGCGAGTCCATGTAGGATAGAATTTTTTGCATTATCTCAGTTCTGGGTGTTATGGTCAGATACTCCACATATGAGAGCTTTAGCTACTTGGAATCAGAAGAATGTATGTGATGTTACACCTGTGTTAATTTGTGTAAGTGTATGAATATAATTTCTGTATGTCAGTCCAAGTATATTTCGCTACATAGATATTTGATTATAACGGTTATATTTGATAACTTACAGTAGTGCATTTATTCTAAGGCTATATTAGGGCGTTTTTTTCGTCGAGGAAACGCATTAGGCGCTACCCCTGCCCACTGGCAAGCGAGAGGGGGCGTGTGGGATTCTTCTTCACCCACCTCGTGGCTAGGCGCGCGTTCCCGAAAGCCTATTCACAAAAACCCCAATGGTGTATCTTCCCTTTGGGGAAAGGGGGGTGAGTGTTCTGGTCACTCCCCACTGCTGGGGCTCAGATCCACAGGTACCTCCAATAGATACCCCGTAATAACAATTTTGATAATAAAATAAAGATGCCAATCCTAGCGGCAGGGTAGGTGACTGCGGCGACCTTATTGGAATTTAAAGATACGTATTCCGTAGAGATGGGAACCATATCATAATGAAACGTATGTAGATATAATTGATCGATACATGTTAGTTACTTTTAAATGTGATTGAAAAGATATTTTACTTTAAAAAAAAATTCAAAATTTATAGCACTATAAACTAATTCCTGGGCAAAGCATCAAACAGCAAGGCTTCAGTGAGCACGTATGCCAAAAATCACTAACTTTCAATCACTGGATGAGAACAACATTTAAAAATCGGTTTTGTAATAGAAATATGTTTAGATATGTTCTAATTACTATAGGAGGATATTACATTTATTTACATTTTTGGGATTCTGTCACAACTAAATCGTAATTTTACAAAATTTCTCCAATAGAAATAAATTCATAGTAACCCCAAAATACATATTTATTTCAATTTTAACAGGCAGACTGGACATTAACTCATCACGCGGGCCCATTGCAGATTAGCAAAATGCAAAAAATGAGGTACCTAGCTGAGATTATATTCAAAATGTGATTATTAGTTAAATATTAGGACAATACCTGCAGGACAAGTGTTCCCACTGGCTTCCCACTAGATCCGCCGTGCGATAGGGCATTAAACATATTTTTGAAATATTTCAATTCAATCCTAAGGTCCTAATAACCATAGAAGAGAATGTATTCATTTAGTAAGTGTATTAAAATTACACCTAAACTTTACATTTTCATTTTTTTATGAAAATTCTGGACGCCATGTTGCTCTGTGGTTGTGACGTCACTTGCTATTGTAAACAAATGCATTGCTATTGGTTTTTTACATTTCTATGTACTTTTTATTATAGTCAAATAGTTGTAAGAAGATATTACTTTTAATAAAACTTAAAATTAAAAACCTTTAAAAAACTACGTCATAGAAAAAAATTTAAGGGTGTTTGATTTTGTCATATTATTTAAGAATTTTAATTTTTTTGCTATTTATTACACTGCGTCCTTTTCTACCCCATTGTGAGACGTTTTAAATTTATCTCTTATTTATCGCAACTAAATTTTGGAGGTTAACTTAAATATCCAGACACATTTTTACAGAAAGACACAATATCAAAATATAGGTATATTGGTAATTTATGAGATTCTTTTTATGTTTCTGGGAATTAAAAATAATATTTTATTATCTTTGGCACCGGTAAATAAGGCATGTATCCCTTATGGATAAATTTGAATCAAGTACATAGTATCGATAAAGAGAACATATTTAAGAACCAATTAATATATTTTTTTTATTTCATATATCATTAATTATATAATAAGTGATTTAAACAGTAGTAAACAAATAGTAGGTGGATAAATATATTTTTTAAACTCAATTTGGAATAGCATTGCTGACTAAAATTAATTACTAAAAATTTTCAATTTTTAGTTTGGGTTTGTTTGTACATGTACTCATGTAATCAATAAGTTTACTTCTATTTTCTTAGATATATTTCCAATTAAAAACTCAGTTTGATATGACTAAACCTACATTGAGACTAGTTTGTACAACAGAAAGCTACTGTTGTATATTGTTATACTATTATTATATTAAAACAAACACATATTTTTAATGTTTTGAGAATATTATTTTAAAAATATTTGAATAGAAACATGTTGCCTTTAAAATCCAGTGAGCACATTTCAAGCTAAAATAAGTGCAATATAATCTTCTTACCTTAACTTTGTGGTGAATGCTATAAAGTGCGAGTCAGTTTAAAATGTATATCTTTTTGAATTTATAAAACAATTTAAACAAATTCATGTAAGAATAAATACTCTAAACTATTAAAGTATGTCCTTAACTTATAATAGATTTGTGAAGCGTGTGGAATTGTTGAGGATGTCTTTGAATTAGGCGAGAGAATTTAGTTGCGAATTTGAATATTAATAAATTAGATATCGGCTTATACCATTCTTTGAATATTCACTGGTATACTTATATATTCTTATATGTGTATTAGAAGTAATCTATCCTTATATTATACAGAAGAAAGTTTTTATTGTTTATTTGTTTGCTTGCATAAAATAGGCTCCGAAAGTGCTGGACTGATTTAATAATACCTGACGGAAAATCCGATGCGTATTTTTCAATTCGCAACGTCAGAACTGACTAAATTATATGACATTCAGCTTTGCACGCTCGACCGATGATCCGTCGCGTATTAACACGTACTTCTGTGATACACTCGACAGATCATCCTTTAGATTTGCACTGGATCACATCCCACAATCAACATTTACCCATAATAATGAAGTACAAGTAAAAACTCTTATGCCTTTGATCAGCGTCAATAATAGAATGACGCAGTTTTCACTTAAAATTATACATTCAATGTTACAACTTACTTTAAATATAGTTCATAGTAATAACTTCGTAAAATGGACAATGCCTCAGTGAATATTTTGTAACGGCTAAACCAGTCATCCGCACAGTTATACAACAGTTGTGCAACCATATTACCTAACTTACTTGTCGGTTTATACGTAGACTTGGCTATACGCAAAACGTGATCTTAGCAAACCTTTCTTACGTGAAACATTAAAAAAAAAGAATTTTTATTAAAGGTCCTATGTGTTATAAAAACGATAGTAACTTTTATGATACCATTAAAAGGCGAGCAATACCTTTAAGACAGTATTGATCCAATTTGCAATAGCGCAAATCATAATTTCCAGGATTCAACTGTATGTTTTTATTTGGATTTTATTCAATTAATGATATTTAACTTAAATCTATACCAAAATTCGGTAAATCACACTCGAAATAGTGAAAGTGGGTGATAACCATGACGTACGGATTTTATATAACATTTGAACAATTCGCCAGTTTTATTTTCTTGACATAGTTTAATATGTGGGATCCTGTGAGAAGTAAAGAATAAAGGCCATCTTGTAATGCAATTTATATGTCATCGTAAAATCGTCAATGTCATCATTTTTAATACCTACTATAATTTAGGCCAACAAAGACCTACAGTAGGTTATTATATAACATATAGGTAGGTAATTTTTGTGACAGATTATAGACTAAATATGGTAACACTTTCATATATACTTTTAAATCCAGTGTTTTACTGCGGCGTATGGTAGATTAACAAAAGTAAATTTATACGAAACGCCACTACTTATAAATTCACTTTTGTATGAAAAAATATGTTATAAAATCCATTTCAACAACATTTACTTTAAAGAATCAATTGCAACCAAAATACAGCATGCACGAACACGTGTTGACCTCACTGTGGTCTGCTCTAATTATTGTTCATTACTGTCCGTGACACAACGTCACTGTACAATATAGTTAACAGTACCAAAGGTAATCAAAACTATTTCTCCAGTTAATTAACGGCCTTAATCTGTTAGTGGTTGTGTTAAAAAGCAAATGCGGAAGTTGGACATTTTGCGGTATCCTGATTTATAAACATGTCAGAGGATATAAGACACATACGTGAGATGAAAAGTTTGATCAATAGAAATGGTCTAGTAAATCACAAAAGGTTTAAAAAAACTCCTGCCTCATTAATAAAATTAAACACTTGGCCTGTAAAAAATCCTTAATTATGGAGTGCAATTTAAAACTTCTATCAAACAAAATGTTTGGCCAATACATACAATTATATTTGATAATCAGATAATCAGTAACAGTAGGTACTTTAAATTTCATAAAAGTAAGGTATATTTCGGTTTGCTACATGTTTCTTGAGAACGTAAACCAAAACTTTGTTTGTGAATTCAATCGCTAATTAATAGCGATATTAACAAAAGAACTTAGATATTTTGATGTTATTCTAAAAAATATATTCTTTGTTCCAGATGTGGCTAGCAGCACTAGCCATAGTGTTAGTGATCTGCTTTTTACTTTATTTGGATACATTGAAACCAAAGAAATTCCCACCAGGTCCCAAATGGATACCAATCTTAGGCTGTGCTACAGAAGTAGCCAGACTTCGAGAAAAAACTGGTTATTTATATAAAGCTGCAAAAGAACTTTCAAAGAAGTATTGCAAGAACGGCGCTGCACTTGGTCTTAAAATTGGAAAAGATAGAATAGTTATAGTCAATAGCTTAGAAGCTAATAAAGAAATGCTTGCTAATGAAGATTTGGATGGTAGACCTAAAGGGATATTTTATCAGACTAGAACATGGGGTGAGAGAAGGGGCGTTCTTCTAACAGATGGAGAACTCTGGAGGGAGCAGAGGCGTTTCTTAATGAAACATTTAAAAGAATTTGGTTTCGGTAGAAAAGGTATGGGCAATATAGCTTGCTCAGAAGCTGTCTTTATGATCAATGATTTAGTGGACGCAATGAACAATAACAATGAAGCGGTGGTCCAAATGCATAACTTTTTTAATACTTATATATTGAATACATTATGGTCTATGATGGCGGGCATTAGATACAATCCAAAAGAGCCTCAGATGCAGGTTCTTCAAGGCCTGCTCTATGATTTGTTTTCTGCTGTTGATATGGTAGGTACTGCATTTAGCCACTTTCCAGTCTTATGTATTATAGCTCCTACGATGTCTGGTTACAAAGACTTTGTCAAAACACACAAAAGAATTTGGAAATTTCTCCGAGATGAAATCGCTAGACACGAAGAGAGGTTCGACCCTGAAAAAGAAGATAAGGATTTTATGGATGTCTATATAAGAATTTTAAGACAATACGGTGAAGTAAATACTTATTCTAAAGGTCAGCTCGTTGCAATGTGTATGGATATGTTCATGGCTGGTACTGAGACGACAAGCAAGAGTATGAGCTTCTGTTTTAGCTATTTAGTAAGGGAGCAGGAGGTACAAAAAAAAGCTCAGATGGAAATAGATAAAGTGGTCGGTCGGGATCGCATGCCATGCTTAGAAGACCGTGATAAGTAAGTTTATTTTTTTTTAGATTTTATTGTATTTAAAAATAAATTATAACTTTAAAGCAATCAACATCTTCTTAAATGAACAATAAGTCTGATGAGCTAAGTTACCAAACATATGCGTTAAGTATGACTTCAAGTTCGAAATAAAAAATGCACACTTTTTATTCGCACCAAATATTATTTATATTGCCATCAGCGTTGTGAATGAAAAACTAAGTAAGTATATTTTGCTTTTGTAGGTTTAGTTTAAAAATTTTACACTCGACTGAAGAAAATGTTATTCTAAATAAATCCTATGTAGTGATTTTAATACAGTTAAATTACGCAGTTACTTTGTATATAAAACTAAACGTTAATATATTTACTTTGAGCAATCATTGTTGTTATTCTTATTCGACTAAAGCATCAAATACACAAAATTCTTGATAAATCTCAAATTAAGCTTAAATAACTTAAGACACATATCGTTAAATCTAGTTATATTAGCTACGTTTTAATTAAAACTCTTATACAGGACTACGAACTTGATGATAAGATGTTATGTAAAAAAAAGATACAAACAAAAAGCTTCTTTCTCCAATAAGCTTCATTGTGATCTCTCGAATAATAGTGCCCATTTTTTATGCTAGGTAATTAAGTTTTTGAATCCTAATATCAATTAATATTTTTCAAAAGCTCATGGGTCGTTCATATATTTTTTAACAATTGATCTTCTCCTTTGTATCAATCTAGGTTCATCTCCTATCGAATCTGTACTTAATTTTATTTGCATATATTTTCTTATTTTATTTGTATTAATATACAAATATGGATATGGATGAAGAAGATGACCTTCGTGGGTTTTGTACGCCGGTTTCAAAGTGTCGCCAACTCTCAGTCCCAAGTTCGATACCCGGTGGGTCAAAATAGAAAACGAACTTTTCTATATTTCTCAGGTCTGAGTGTTTTATCTCCGTTGTCTCAAATACTCTATAATTACTCACAGTTACTCATTATGGAATCCGAGCAATTCTTTTTATTATTTTATTATGTGATTGTGTCTATTATTATTTAATTCCATTAACGATATTTTTCAGGATGCCTTACAATAGTGCTCTGGTGCACGAGTGTGTTCGCCACTTCATGGGACGTACGTTTGGGGTCCCCCATCGCGCCTTGAAGGACACAAAGTTGGCTGGCTACAACATTCCGGAGGTACTAGATGTTTTTAATTTTATTTTGTGATTGCTTAAAATACATAAACGTTAAGAATAAAATTGACATTATAAATATCTTAAGTGTATATTTTGGTGATTTGATTTGTACTTTGAGATAAACTAGCAAAGGCAAGCAATTATGAAATAGTATCCTTAACATAGAATCATGAAATTTCTTGTCATCATCACCAGCTAATTAATCCTCTCCTCTGCTGGGGCACAAACATTTTCTGTGGATGGAACCACGAACACGAGCTACCTCGCAGGTCCATTGCGTATTGTTGGATTTTAAGGACTGCACTCTGAACCAATGGCTTAGCGTGCCTTCGGAAGGACAGAGAAGCTCTATCTCTATAATATTTGTATATTATTGCGATTTTGCTAGGCTTATTTCAAAGTTTGGTATTTTTTTTTTCTTTCTATAGAGTATAATTCAGGAAGTTCTCCAGCATTAGGAATACTATTCCATATTTAGTTAGTTTTCTCTATCACAAAAATATCGGCGAAGAAATCAATCCATTTTGTTTTGTCGCAGCTGCTGTTTCTACTCATTATAACAGTTACACGTTATTATAACAGTACCCATATACAGCTTCTTTGAAAATGCTTGTGTATAAACTTTGATAAGAAGTATGTACTAACATACATTTCACAGAACGAGCGTTTATCACAGGAAATTATAAAAACACCTTTAGTGAGAATAATATTATTCATATGAACATTTTAGCCAATCGTATTACTCAGCAACAGGTGTAGCAATAAAATAATGAATACTTTAGTGGGAAAAACATACTCGTATTTTCGGGCATAGTGCATTATCACGTAATTAATACTTACAATCAGAAGCTCATGTTAAGTGAATTGTTATTAATATAACAATTTGTAATTACGTAGTAATGTGCTTTCTCTTATGATATCATACCTTAATATTAAGCCGTTGAATCGTAGATTGACTAAAGTTTGTGGACCTGTAGGACTTTTCTTTATAAAATTGCACTATCATAGCATACCTACATCAAAAAGTTACATTGTTACCTACATCAAAAAGTAATAGGGCTTTATTTCTATGCTCTCATAATTCTGTGCTAGACGTCAAGCTCGAGGCAATGTTTATCATAATAGCATAGTTGAATGACCGCAATTATTTTCAAACGCGGCAGAATTCGTTGAGTAATTTTGGTTAAATCACTATAAATAAATAATTCATATTAATTGGAATTTTAAAGTAACAAGCATTAAGTTATTACATTAGAGCAATATTGCATAATGTTATATTTAATATTTGATCCAAAAAAAACTTAAAAATATTATAAAGAGCTCGTGTCGAGCGCATGGAACTGGTAAATTTTTATGCAAATATTTGATTAATAGCATAACCTTTACCTATTACACTTTTACCTTTTGTCAATCCTATATATATAACTTTTTTATTCAACAGTGTCGCTCAATGTAACAATGTTCATTATTCATTTTCAGGACACGATGATAGTGTCGAATTACACAAACATACTGATGGATGAGGAATTATACCCGGACCCTTACGCTTTCAAACCCGAGAGGTTTATCAAAGACGGCCAAGTGAAGATGCCAGATCACTACTTTCCGTTCGGCTTGTTCAAACATCGGTGCATGGGTGATGTACTGGCTAAGTGTAACATATTCATATTCACAACGACGATGCTGCAGAAGTTCTCCTTTCTCCCTGCGCCCGGTGAACCATTGCCATCTTTGTATCACGTTGATGGAGCGACTCCGTCAGCGGCGCCGTTCAAAGCCTTGGTGGTACCAAGACATTGAATGCTGTCTATTCTAGTGTTACTTTTAAGTGTTTCGTCCCAAAAGGGACTAAATGGAGTCTTATTTCTCTTGCCATACAACGTATGTACACACCTCAATCACACACTCTAGTGTGTGATTGAGGTAGGACAAACCGTTGTAGTTAAAGTTCTTAATATTTGCAGTATAGTGTGTATCGAAAAATCCAGACCTGAACTCGAATTAACTCATGTATTTCAAATTCACGTCATTTAGTATAGAAATTCTATTGATCCCATTTTTATATAAAAAAACAAAACAAAATTGATTGAACGTGCATGTCTCAGATATTCAGCCCCCTGATTGTCTAATTTTAAATCTATTGCAATCGCTTTCAGTTTGAAAGGTGTTGCACAACCATTGCTGAATAATACAAATACTTTTTTTCAACTGTCTTCAGAAACAAGCAATGGTTATACAACATCTTTCAAACCGAAAGATTTTAAAGTTAGACAATTAGGCCCCTGGTCCTATGTTATTTCGAAACTCACTTCATTTATGCCAAGAAACTTTCTGAATTGAATTCTGTCCGAATTAAAAAAAAAGCGGCATTCGAATTCGGGTTTGGATTTTTACAGAATCGCAGGGCATGTCTTGTTCTTCATTAATTTTATAATGTCTGACAACACATTTTTTTATCATAATTAAACTAAATTACGCGATACACACTTAGCCAAGACTTTATTTCTAAAAAGCGCCAATTTGTTTGTTTGACCCCTAAACCTAGCGGGAAAAAATCAGACATTGCGGCTACATCACATCACCAACAAAACTTTACGTATTGTTTCATTTAACAGAGAACTCGGGGGGAACAAAAGCTTTAATAATTTAATTGTAACCATACGGTTTTACTATACCGGCGCAACTCGTAATATCGGCTCTAGCCTTTTATTGCCCACGACAAATGTATAATCCTTTACTAGATTTATGGACCCAATGCAGATGGGCACATGACTAACTTTGGTTTATTATTAGGTACCTAATACCATACCCATATGTACCATTTAGATGAGGGCAGCAGCCGAGATAGTCCATGAAGCCAGGCCAAAATTGGGATCCTCAAGTCAGTTCAATGATATAGAATGATTTCTAATTTTACTGGACTGGCTTACAGGATTGGTTCAGCAAAATAGACCCTTACCGTATAATAGCGTAGAGTTAGATTAGTTTAGATTAATGTTGAGTTGTTATGATCAATATTGACTGGCTATTATAATAATGTACAGTTTAAGTCATATGTATAATACAGTATTTCTAAAACCATATATTGTTTTATATTATTTTCTAAATGCAGAATCGGTTTAATCCGAATTATTAAAATTTAATTCTAAAATCATCTAATTTATCAAATTCTTTTAATTAGTACAGTTGATTCCACGTCAAGTAACTACAAATGTCCAAATATCTCCAATACAATCTTTTAAATCGTTAACAAGTAAGTTTACAATTAATTTTGATACAATTGTAGTTATCTCGCGTGTACAATAAACAGTAGAGAAGGTATTTAAAATCTTTCTTCCACATCTGTTAATAAGCCCTAAAATATAAGGTTATGTTTTCTATATCGAAGAGAGAGGTTCAGGTTAGGATGGGTGACCATTTTTTTATTAATGTAGTGGAAATGCACCTTATGTTTCAAATCAGGGCTCTCTAACCACTACAACTTAAGGAGCTTTGGTCAAAATAAGGGAATTAACCCAAGGATATAGAATCCAGTTTTGAGAGAGCCGGGCTTAACCCAATATTCTATGGGTGACCAAACACTTATTTACTCAATTTCCTCCGTGCTTCGTAAGACGTATTAAAACATTGGTGCCGGGTTTATGTATGTACAGTCTATGAGAAACAATCGGCAGTGGGGCTGGGCTCGGCAAACTGCTTGTCGGATCCCGGGTATTTCCCCTCGCCCGGACGGTATTCGCAGCGCATCTTACCGGGTAGGCCGGCTTCGCTTAACCTTGCCTTTTCCAGGACTGGTGCGGGGCAGGAGAGACCTGGTTTAAGGATGAAAGTTGCAATTGCCCCGCGTTAAAAATAGGTAAGTAATCCACACTGATTCCGCGCGGTGGGTTAGGGTCAATCATAGATAAAGAGTCATTAATAGACTGATGACATCATACTCTAACGTAGATCATAATAGTTTCGTTTAGGCGCATTTAGGTCTCCATAAAAACCCAAGTTCATAAAAGTGTAGCTGTGATATCGGAAAAAATATTAAAAACCTCTATTTGTACATTCTACTAGACAAGTAGCAGTGTTACTAGATTTAAAAGAAACAATTTAAAAATGTTCACAGTAGATTATGTAAAAAATTGTTATAAAAAGAAAACTACGAGTATAACTGGTTGTATTGATAGAATTACAGACTCTGTAGGCGAATGGCTCGCACACAGGTGTCAAGGTGTCGCTATCTCTTAGGTCCCGGGTTAAATTCTCATCGGGTCAATGTCAGGAAAATTAACTATATCTGGGGTTTGGGTGTTATGGTATCTTCATTGTTACATGGTTGTTCAGATATATTATGATAAGTGTTTTAGCTCATCTTGCAATATAAACGATGTTTGTGATATTATCTAATATTTAATTGTGTAACAAATACCTATACCATAACATATATGTTATTGGTGCCATATAGCTTTGGTAAAATATATCTGGAATTCATAAAAATGCGTTATTATATTTTCTTTCTAATGTTATGTAACAAAACCTACATCACAAAATTTATGTAATAAAATTATTCTGCAATTATGAAGAAACGAAAAAAATATGGTCTCGCGACTTTAGAAAATAAAAACAGTTAAGTTTATTCAGGAATAAATTATGACTCCATAAAAATCCAAGTTCATAAAATAATTTATAAAACAATTTAAAAAAAATTAATGATCATGTCCTCTCTTTTGTCACCAGTTGAATCTATAACAATAATATTTACATTATAATTTGTACATAATAAAACTATTATGTTAAGTATGAACTAGAAATAAATCCGATATGATTTTTGGATAGTCTTAGTCGTGGTACTTAATAAAAATTAATGAGGCAATAATATTATAACGTGTCAATCTCAATATTACTGTTTATTAAATTTAATATACAAGCAGTCTCATTATTTATAGTTGATGTTGAGATGCTATAACTTGAACTCTGTGCACTTCTGTGATAGACGATGAGCCTTTACTACAAAGATATACTGAATTGTGGCAGAGGTTCATATCTTATTCACGTTAACTATACTATAATATTATAAAGCTGAAGAGTTTTTTTGTTTGTTTGAACGCGCTAATCTCAGGAACTACCGGTTCGAATTGAAATATTCTTTTTGTGTTGAATAGACCATTCATCGAGGAAGCTTTTAGGCTATAAAACATCACGCTGCAACTATTAGGAGCGAAGAAATAATGGAAAATGCAGATGAAGTCGCTGGCGGCCACTAGTATCTAATATATTTTATATCAGCGAACACCAATTCTCAGTCGAATCTCTCTAATTTATGAATTTGTTTTTTTACATTAACTATATCATCATCATCATCAGCCCATATTCATCCACTACTGGGCACAGGCCTCTCCAAGCTCACGCCATCGAACTCGATCTTCGGCTACTCGCATCCAGTTTCTATCAGCCTCCTTGCGAAGATCGCCTACAAACCTTGTCTGAGGGCGTCCCACACTAAGCATTCGTGTTCTCCATAGAAGGCGAGTGTGTTTTCCCCACCGGCTGTCGATTCTACGACTAATGTAGTCTGCCTATTGCCACTTCAACTTGCTGATTCAGTGGGCTATGACGATTACTTCTATGACGAATTATCTCATTTCGGATTCGACCCTTCAAAGAAACTCCGAGCATAGCCCTCTCCATAGCTCGCTGAGTGACTTTTTCTTATAGACAAAGGCCCACTGTAAATATCCACGTTTCGGCTTCGTATGTTATAACAGGTAGGATACGTTGGTTAAAGACTTTCGTCTTTAGACTTTGTGGGACGGATGATGCGAAAACTTTTTTTTTTTTTCACCGCTGCAAGGACTCCAGGACAGACCAGGTCTCGATTGAGTCAAAGGCTTCGTCATAGTCCTCAAATGCTAAGTATTAACGTTCGATTATACTCTTCTGTTTTTTATTTAATATGCCGTACTATGTAAATGTGGTCTGCCCTGCCAAATGCCATATAATTGTGTACTGTTATCACTCGTATCACTCACATAGATGAAAACTTTGCAATTAATACATGCTCTTTGCTAACGCACAGACAAATCCCACATGACTTTTGTATGGGACAATGAATCTGGATATTATATAATTTAAGATTTATATTGACATTTACTATGTACTTGCCTCACTTATAATTACATTCTTTCTATTGTCATCGAGCATACGCAGTCTTATAGCAGCAAGAGCATTAAATTTGATAAGGCTGCGTTCTGACAAACCAAATTCGTCAAATTTTCCAATCTTGGTAAAATTTTTAATGACGGATTTTACTTCTACAATTGTATTGTAGAAAATATAGTTACTGTGTTGATAATTACCGCTTCGAAATTTATATCTGAAAGTAAAGGAGTCTTGATTATCCTGTAAATATGATGTTTCAGTAAGTAATAGTGAATCAACATTCATCTGAAATCCATTCCTTTTACATTCAGATTTTCAAGGACTACAATCAAACTGACAAACTATTAAATTATATAAATTGGTGGAAGAAATTCTAAATAATAATTCGGTACAGATTCGGAGAGTTCAATCTTTTTAATCAGATTAAATTCTCTTTTTATTTTTAATTGTTCTTATGACACATTTTGCTTTAACAGAGAAAACTATACGTCTAGATATTGCTTAGGGATTTGTACTCGAAAATAGTCCTCAGTATGATTAGCACTTAAGCACGGGCCAGTTTTTTGATCCGTGGTTAACTCAACCATTTGTTAAAATCTTTGACAAATGGTTAAATATCAGAAAAATATGTTTTTTGATTAATAGTTAGCCTAATCAATTGTCAGTATTACAACCATTTGTCAAAAAATTTTACCATCTCTGGAAGCTAGGTTAAGTAAATAACCAATGGTTAAAAGAACAGATGTACAACTGCGTTGTATTTACTTGGTCCCTTGTTATTGTTTTTTACGTTGTTTTTATAACCTACATGATTTCATAGTGAAATTGGACATTAGCTATTTTTGGGATTTCGATTTATAATGCAATTTCATAGGAAAACATTCATTGTCATTTTTGGGTTATAGGGTTATTGAAGATAAGTTAGATTTTTATCTTGATCATCCTTAATATTTGTACTATATAAAATAATTTCTCTTGTTTCCATGGATATATATGCCAAATTATTCAATTATTAAAAATCCTATAAGATCCACGAATAGACAATATAAAAGGTAAATATGCCTATAGTATATAAATTACATAGTCCTCGATTTATTTTCCAACATTACAATCCCACCTTGGATACTAGATACTATATTCTTTTCACGTATTTCTCTATCAGATAAACAAATAACAAATATATGCTTTTAAAAAAAATTAAGTTTTAAATAACTGGAAAAAAAAATATCTTTGTTGCTTTTGCAACCATAAACATCCACACTCTTTGATAATCTATAGATTTCTTTCGTCTATTTGATATTTGGAATGAAATCCTAATGTCAAAAATGGTATATAGTTCGCTCCGTTCATTGAAACCGTTAGTGTTGTCACCCAGAAAAAAATTACCCATGTCAATGTATAGCGAAAAAACGACTCATTGTGCTAGCAACAAATTGGCCAATGGTTAAACTTGGCTATAGTTTAATTTGGCATCAAAAAACGAAACAGCGAGTTAACAACTTGCTAATGTTTTAACTATAGTCAAGTTAACAAATGGTGAAATGACATTTGACTACGGATCAAAAAACTGGCCCTAAGTGATATTGCCATTATTGAGGCGTCTTGAGGTATCTTGGATTTCTTTAATCAATGAGTGACTACAATATTAGTTTTAGCAAGGTAAGTTCTTTTATTTAAATTCAACTAAAAAAGTAGCAGGTAGTTAAAAATATAATTTAAAAACATACCTTTTAAACGCAGTCGGTTTTTTAAACCAAAATTCGATAACAGCGCCTTTCTTTGGCTGCTGACCTAAGAAATATGATTTTCCCTCATAAGCCATTTGTATTGTATGAGCAGATTCTGATGCGATCGTGCTAATTATACATTTAAGTGGAGGGTTCGAATGAGGAAAATAAGTAAAACCTGTTATTAAACGGGATTCCTAAAATGAAAACTTAACTATTAATTAAAACTGCTTGCTTCGGAATACATAAAGATATTGCCTGCAATAGGGTATAAAAAGAATTTAGTCCGCCAGTCAGATAAAAGAAAAATATTAGATATGTTTTTTTTTATTCAATTTAATAAGAAATAGCTTAGATAACTCAATGTATCGCCGTAATTTAATGATAACCTAAAAAAAATTAAAAAATATGATTTTCAAATTTTTCAACAATTTACCTGATGGACAAATAAACAAAAATTAGTCGTTATCCCTGTTATTTCCAATCAAATTACATGAAAATGAACGCATAACAATACAGGTCAACATTTTGTACTAAAAATGTATGAATCTGAGGTGGTCCATAAACTGTCTATGAATTTATAATTTTCAAATATAGAATTAATAGTAATACAATAATAACTGGAAGGAAAACAAAATACTTGCATGTGATCTATTAATATAATTAAAATAAAACCATTAGTATAGAGAATTTCCTCCTTAAGACTTCCTTAATACGACATAAAAAGCGTAAACATGATTTCCGGTAACAAAAACAGTAAGTATTAAATTACGTGTACTGGCTACATTGTTTTCCTGTATTGTGTGGCTTCATAAAATTGCAGAAATATTGTGTACCAAAGTATTTTTCATTGGAGTATTGTCTGTGAGCCACGTTACTTTAACAAGTGATATTTTTGATTAATCAAAATAACTAGGACGATATTTTTTATTGAGATAGATTATACCTGCATATTTAGGTAAAATTGACATTATTCGCAAACAGACATCAAAATGAAACACTCAGTCATTATGATTAACATAACGGAAAAAAAAATAAAAACAGAATAACAAGGAAAAAGAAAAAATACAACCAAAAAGAACAAGACAAAAACAAGCAAAGGCAACAAAAGAAAAACAAGCAAACTACCAAAACAAAATCAATAAATATAAAATAAATCAACATTTAATAAAGAAATTACGAATATATAATACAATACTTTTACAGTTATTGTTCAAAAAATGAAAGAAATAAAAAATACTTTACTCTCGTTGAAATTTACCTCAAAGACTTCGGGCAAGGAACAAAATTTGCTATGAGTATGTTTTATACTAGAGAATAGGTATTTAGATGTAGATAAACAAGTACTTAAGTAATAGGTAACGCAAAAAACATGTTGTCTATTGATCTCCTTATTTAAGTAAGTTTGCCTTTATATAATAGGCTCCAAAACAACTGAACCAAATTTAAGAATTTTGACAACTACAAGAAGTTACGTCATACAGGAATGATTTAGAATGCAACTTACGCGGACAAAGTCGCGTTTAAGCAGCTAGTGATCAATAAAGGTAGACTAACTATGAGTTTGCAAATCATTTCCTTAATTATCTTAACGTCCGCAATCACCCTTCATACCTTATCTTTGCCTATTTTACAATTAAGTGTAAGTATTTCTCGTACGAATTAATATGACACTATTCTATTTCTCCGAAAACAAAATTTCGTCAATTTCGAAATGCTAATGCGACTCTAATGAAATGCATTCAATATCTAAGATGCAACGGAGGTAAAAACTGACACTGGCTCTGGCCCTGATGTACAAGTAATCTTGATTTATGAGAACTATTTGCAATTTTCGTTCTTGAACAAATAGCAGAGGCCCTTAAGTGTCATGTTAATAAGTAAGTGTTAAATTTATAGGCATTATATATGTTTTAAATATCTCCAAGATTATTTAGGATAACTTAACGAAGCTATTGATTGACTGTTATATTGAACTCACCTCGACCTTTTGTATTTTTCCTTTAAGTGAAGAATATAGTCCTATGTGACTGAATAAGGAATAAGTGCTTTTAGCTCTAATACCATTAACAATAGCATCACATGTTTTCTGTAAAACGAAAATATCATTTTTGGTTGCGCTGTTACAAAATATAGGTTTCAATGCTGTAACAGCTCTGTGTTCGACGTCAACTTCGAGGTTTATTATGGAATAGAGATACTGTTTAAGCATATTTTACCTTGCGTTTGGTAATGCCGCACACTTTATCTTGAAGATAGCTTTCAATCAGAAAATCTAAAGGCATATTGTAATAAAACAACTGCAAATATTTAATGAAATGATCAACATCAGAGGACCGCAGCAATTTTCCCATGCCATTGAGCTGCTGACAGAACTCTATGATTAGCCAGTTTTTATTGTACCTTGATGTAAACCCTATGACTTGTTTTATTTCCTGAAAAATGAATTAAATTGAGTATCATTACTATTGTTTTTGTTTTTAAAATTAAGTAAATTTATCTATCAACGAATTTGATAACTATGTCTGCTTTTATAATGAATAAGAATAATATACTGGTTAATTAATCATGTTTCTCATGAATTTACATAACTATCAATTTAAATTGTCTATGGTTACACTAACCGTTAAGTACCCCTTCTTTGCGATAATGTCATCTTCCATTATTAAATAATAACTACCTTTGGTATGACCATACGCCATAACGTATACACAATCAAGGACATGCTTAGCTCTCCACAATGTTCGTTTGACAGAGTCTCCGAGAGTCGCGGGGATTTCTTCAGTCGGATAATAATATTTCAATGGTGAAATCACATCTATGAGACCAGCGTTAACTTCATCGGTAAAACTGATTAAAGGAGCATATAAAAATAATACTTATTGATAATAAGCCAATAGTAATTTTTTCCCGAGCTTATATGTGAATATCTTACATACTTAGATTCTATATTTCTAGCTGTTGTCAAAACGTACTCAATATCAACCTCGCCAACCATTACGACTATTAATGTACATATTTTTTCCGCGTCTGAGAGTCCACCCACAAGTTCCTGTTATTTGATAATGGTATGAATTGGATTATTATGTTTTCAACGTTTTTATTAAGTTCATGACACAAAGTATGAATCGTTTACTTTCAAAGTATTCATCAAATAATCCGCTTTGTCTCGTTTCACTGTGGTTACACCTATAACAATATCAACCATACTTCTGCCACCAGACATTAAAAATGCTGGCAGCAAACTTCTTTCACTCCTTTTCAAATGCGGTAAAATAAAATTTGTTGGTTGCAATGGTTTCAAATTGTACAATCCTGTAATTGTTCTTGTGCCTTAAAATAAAAAAATAAACATAATAAGTATAGTTAAGTATTATAATCACACAATATTTAGTTTTCTAATTATATCAGCCTCAGTCAGATTCATATTATCAAAAAACCATGTGTATTGCGAAACAATTTTTTTTTGTTATAATAAATTGATAAATTATCTATTAAATGTTATATCTTAGGATGACTTACTACCGTTAAATTCTTATAACGGCGGAATAATAACCTAACAACAAACAAGTCGCTTCTAAGAGTTTTATCATAGTTATATATTATAGACTGTCTACGTAGCCGCGTTTTTGGCACGCCGTCCAAGGTGGTCCGAGGTCTCGGGTTCAATTTCCGGTCGGGTCAACATAAAAAAGGACATTTCTACAATGTCTCGGGTCTGGGTGTTGTAGTACCTATGTTGTATTAGAAAATACATAATGCGACAGCACATCTTGGAATCTGAGCAAACTTTTTGTTTTTTGGTTAATATTTATTTATTAATATAATACTGGCAAATGTGATTTTAATAAAATTATATATATTTTATCAAACCATTGATAGATGACAACATGCTTCGTAACCTCGATGATTTAAGGTAATGCGATGATTGTGATAGCTTTTTGTTTTGTTGCTGCCCAGAAGAATTCGACTAAAAATATTGTTATATTATATTCATTATTTTAATGTACATAATGTATAATATAAGGTTTTATATTATATTATTAAGTGAAGTACTTCTGAAAATCCATACCACTTTCTTTCTTTTATAACTAAGCACAAACAACATTGCTACTATTAGTTATGAATTATGATCTAACCGTCAAAGCCTTTAAATTCTCATGACAAGCATAAAATAAAAAATTGGTTTCGTCAAGTTCTCTCCTAACCTGCTGAAGAATGAAAACTGGGAAGAGAAAACAAACAAACACTTAATATATAAGGAGAAAAACGATCATTTAAAGCCAGCAGCTTCCTTAATACTACACATTTAGAAGATATTAATGTCGTCGGACATACACTACATCAGCAATCAAATTCCAGTTTGTATAATAAATATAAAATTCGTTGATACTAATGATTTCTGCTATATTAGGTACTACATAGTATAAAACAAAGTCGCTTACTCTGTGACTATATCCCTATATACATATGCTTAAATCTTTAAAACTACGCAAGGGATTTTGATGAACAAAAGGAAGGTTTTTATGTATAATACCAGACCACGCTGGCGGAAAGCTAATTATGTATATGACAAAAGAAAGTAAGTCTTAGGCGTTCCCTGTAGGTTGAACCGAATCGGATAGGAGAACGTGCCATGACCCACCACGTGGGGCCATTATATGATTGGACCTTGCTTAAATTTCCGTAAAGCAAACCGAACGCGCTTACCATTGCGCCATCGAGTAGAATGAATAGTAGCACTGTATAATGTATAATTTGACTATAAGTTGTAACTTGTTATCGCTAAGTATTGTGAATAGAATAACCACTCACTGGTTTTGAAGAAAATTACAATAAACGATAATAAAATTATTATCGATAATGGTAGCATCCGTCTTCGTACAGTTGTAGATGCATATAGAATTTCAAATGTATTTAAAGGCATTTTGAAAGACCATCTAAATTGCAGGCATATCTGTAATTACAAAATAAGTACGTCATAAAATATTGAAAAAAAGGTAGTTAAAATGCTAAACATCTGTTGTTATTAAAAAAATGGTCCATTTCTATCACATATTTTGATTTACTTACTGATTTTTCTATAAGATTTACGTATATTATACTTAACCCTTAGCACCACTCGTGGGGGACCTAGGTCCCCCAGCGCTCTGTTTTTTGCAAATTATACAAATATTTTAAACGCGACGCGGTCGCGGTTTCGAGTATTCCCAGTGACTCCCGAAAGCTGTTGGTGTGCAAACGTACGTCGTGCTAGCGTTGGAAGTTTGTGAGGCACGTGTTGTTGCGGGACCTAGGTCCCCCATGAGTGTAGTTACGTAAGTATTTAATATTGATAATAATCTTTTATATCTACATTTTTGGGTTTTTGGTGCAGTATGAGTAAGAATTTAAATGCCCAGCAGATAGAAAGGCTATTAAATGACGTCAGTATAACTCTAGTATCTGCAATGGACCAAACCAAAACCAAAAAACCCGAGATTGTTACAATTCTACCAAAGGTGGCGTAGATGCTTTAGACCAGAAGTGTGCTGCTTACTCTGTGAACCAGAGAAGTCAAACATGGCCGACCACAATATTTTGCCCAGTATTTCCGGAGTAAACAGTTATGTCCTTTACGGCGCATCTAATCCTCACAAAAGCAAGAGTCGTTATGTTTTTAGAAGAACTTGGGTATACTTTAGTAACTCCTCATGTTCTGGAAAGAAGACGCTCTTCTAACCTTTCGAGGGAGCTGAAAGATATGATGGACAGGTTCCTACAAGAGGTTGGTGTTGATGTAGCTGAAGATCAACCAAAACAAGACCCGAGCCAAAGCAAGGGGCTAAAAAATCTAGGTGTCATTTGTGTCCACGAAGCAAAGACAGTAATACTCCAAGGGTGTGTTTGAAATGTGTGAAAAATGTTTGTCGGAACCACTCTGTTGATGTAAAAATATGTACTAAATGTGAGTCATAAGTTTTAAGTACGTTATAATCAAATTTTTGAGAGTAATTTAATGAGACTGATAATATGTTAACAGATTAAGGTAAATTTTTTTTGGTAAACTAAGTCGAATATTCTCCTTGTGATTTTGCATGTTTTAAAATTTATTCAAGATTTTATGACTGTTTTGGTTAAAAAGTAATATAGGTTATTAGAAAATAATTTTTTTTGTTCCAAAGCATTTTTTATTTATTTATAATGAGTCAGTGAAATAGACCCCATGAATGTGACGAGATTTTTCGTAGTTTTTTTATTTCACACTAGAAATATTAATTATGATTATGAAACCTAAATAAAAGTGTTTATTTTCATAGAATATATGTTTTTTATTTATGTTATAAATATAAATCCTAAAATATCCTATATTTTATTACTTGAATAATAACCATAAAAAGTGGGGACATAGCTCCCCCACGAGTGTAGATATGTAGGCTGAAAATACCGAGTGGTGTTAAGGGTTAAGCCATTATAGTTAATCATTTATACTTAATAATTTAGACACAAAGTCTGTAGGTACGTTTGTTATATTTTCTCTGAAATAATTGGGCTGATTGAGTTGAAAAGAATACCTACGTATATAAGATGCTTGTGCGATTTAAATAGATTGTAGATACAATGAGAAGTCCTTTTTTAGGGATAACAAGAAATTTAAAAAAAAATCGCAAACTATATAAAGTGGCATATCAAATGTAAAGACTTATTGTGGAACCTCAAGTATAGTTTTATAAGTATGAAATTAATGCTATAGAAATTGTAGTAAAAGCAAAAAAAATACTTACTCAAAACTTATAAATGTTTATGTATTAAAAACATTAGTTTTATTATCTTTTCTTTATCTTATTTCTGATTTCCATATACAATTGTATGTGATTTAATTATTTTTCACAATTTATAACATCATAAATCTATGACAACATCAAATCATAAATCATAAACAAAAGGCACCATCTATGGGCAGCACCAAAGTTTACCGAGCTAAGCGGCCAAATCTCAGAATATAAATGCTGGAAGAAGTGATATCTATAACTCTATAAAAAAAGTCCGTCAATTTCAAAGATAATACAGTAAACGAAGTGATTTACAATGTAATCACATTATACTACCGATATGATTCAAACTGGTGGCAATAGATGGCAGGTATAAACTAAAATAGTTCACAAACTTTTGCACAGATGGCAGCTAGTTTGCCTTCAAAATAATACAAAAAAGATTTTTTAATTCTATAATATTATGAAACACTCTTTTATTTAAGTCTATCTATTTTCTTGCGACCTCGCACGCGTAATTATAAGGTCAGCTTTAAGGCAAAAGACATATAATTGAGAAGCCATTGTATTTTAAAGAAGGTTCACGTGAAGTGTAGGAATGGACCTCCCCTTATAATGTAGTTATTACCATCACGTATAGATGGCACTATTCTCGTACCTATTCAAAGGGTCGACCAAAGACTTTTAAGTCGAACATGATGTTCATCTATTTCACGTGTACAAAAAAGTTCTCTTTATGTCTATAATTTATACTTTTAATAAAATAGGTATAAAAACGTCTTAATTAAATTACTTAATCTTGTGAATTGCAGTACTTAGTATGTTAGGTCCATTGAGACAGGCGAAGGAACATAGCCTTACTGTCAATCTCAAGTACAAATGTTTACATATTTTATGAGCCAAAGCCCACTCTTATGTTGTCATTATGATTTTGAAAGACTAATAACCAAATCTTGTTTTAACCACCCTAATAAAATTATGTCACAGTATATGGTCACCAGAGATGTGACTTATCTTAGATACAAGTATTTGAAATACAGATACAAGATACAAAATACGTATTTTCATCTTGTATCTAAAATACTTTTTTTAGGAAGTATTTTGTATCTTGTATTTAAATACTTTTGTTTAGTATCTTAGTATCTTTTAAATATTTTTTCTGATAAAATACTTTATAAAAAGATTATTTCTTACATTTTATAAATATCACAAAACATTTGCCTAAAACATACATATTTACAAAAAT